AATCCTGTGAAGGCTGCGAAACGTCAATAAATAAATAAAATTCCGTAAAAAACTAGTTTTATTTAATGTGTGATGTGCGTGAAAACCTAAGAAACAAATATTTATTGAGTGATTTATTTCAGCGGTTCAGATATAAACAAGGCCAGGGTTACCAGATGAAAAAATCAAAAGTCCGGCGAAAAGGCTTGATTTCCATTGAAAAATCCTGAGATTTTTAGTTTGAGTATTTTCTCTCAAACGTTAAGTACATTTTAGAAAAGTCGTTATATTATCGTTATTATATTATTATATATATATATATATTATATATATTTATGTTGCTTATACTTTTAATTCAATATAATTTGAAGAGCTTAACATGTGGGTCATTTTATAAATCCGTAATTGAAGAAATTACTTAATAATTTATCATCACATATTAAGTATGATAAAACTGATCAAGTACCTACTTGGATAAATAAGTACTGATTTTAACTGTGCAATTGTTATCAAAGGAAGATTATTTTTAGTTTGTTTAAGTTTAAAACGTTAGCTGTATTTTATTGAAAATTCAAAAATCCTGAGAGATCAAAAGATTTACAAAATCCAGCCGTAATCCTGAGAAGACTCCAAAAATCCTGAAATCTCAGGACAAATCCTGAGATATGGTAACCCTAAACAAGGCAGACATACAATGTTACTTTCGCATATACAATATTAGTACGTATTTACTTAGCGTGGTGGCTAAGTAACGAGTGTGCCTTGACCGGCGACGCACCTGATCTTGGTACTAATGCCCTTACCAGCACTGTTTACGACCGATTCGAAAGGTGTGCTTATGCGCACATATGTAGTTTTATACGCACCATAATATATTCACGCATACAAACACAGAAACAGTTGTAATATTCCATTTGAACGACAGTTCTGTTGACCCATTTGTAGACTTGCAACGAATTGTATATTCGGCAGTATACCGAATACCGAATATTCGGCGAGGCCCCTGGCCGAATAACCGAATATTAGACAAAAGTATTCGGCTGGATTTTAGCGCCAAAAACTTGTACAGACGTGATTGTTTCGCGCTCCTTTGTTTTGTTCTAATCTGCCGTCCTCAAGCTAAAATGCGGCTAAATGACAAAATCAACTTTTGAGATATGGCCAAAAAGGGCGCGTAAACTTTAAATTATTGCTATTATGTAACCACTCATCACATGGCTGAATGAATTAAAAACTGTTAACTTGTTTAATACAGAAAATGATTAAATTATGTACCTGTTTTATGTACCAATGACTACTTAATAAATAATTATAAGAGAAATGAGAACCTTACCCTTCTAAATTTTGATTACCACAATAATTCAAATACATAGAATCGTCCATTTTTCCAATTCAGAAGATGATTATGTACCTGTGTTATGTACCAATGACTACTTAAATGATTGTATAACAGAAATGAAAATATGAATATATACGTAATGAATCGATTTTAATTTTTCATTTTACCAATTATTTCTGTATGACAAAATATATTATTTAAGTATTCGGTATTCGGCCGAATAATATGTAGATATTCGGTATTAAGCCGAATATAATAAAAGCAGCCGAATAGGCCGAATACCGAATAGTAACCGAATATTCGGTGCAAGTCTACCCATTTGTAATACAATCATGTTTAGATTCATACGAGGTGGTATTATGAATCTAATTTGAATAGAGATACATTGACTTTGAATAAGTCTAATCTTAATATACACACATCAAAAGTGTCTAGGGATCAACATATATTTTTGCAATAACTTTTCTCCTGATTGATATTAATTAAAATTTTCTTTAAGGATTCATCAAATAAAGTGTTTTCGTTTGTCACAGTAACGATAAACCAAGTCACCTTTGCATTAATAAAGAAATTTGCCATTTTCCTAATAAAGGGATTTTTGACATTTGAACCACTAACACAAAAGTTCGAAAAAAAGACTGAAATAACAGTTTTCTCTAAAATTTTATTGGGTAACTTAAACAATTAATAATCCGTATTTCTACCGCGAACACTAACAACACAAGAACATCGGTTTGGCATACTCAAAATGAGTGCATCCAAATCACGCTGTGGAATGGCCGCCCATGTTCGTTGCAACAACAAAAAAAGGTCTTCTTGCGACTGGATACCCTCCATATTCGGCAGAGCTCTTCTCTGTAGCATATCCCATGCATGCTCAATCGGGTTCAAGTCTGGCGACTGAGCAGGCCAGGGCAGGACATTGATGTTAGCTGCGGCGAGAGTCTGTCTTACAACTCTTGCGGTGTGCGGTCGTGCATTATCATGCATTAACTGAAATAAGGGACCGATTTGCACTTGTAGAGGAACGATGACGTCTGATACAATCGTCTCAGCATAAATTTGAGCGTTGAGGTTGCCTCTGATCCAAATCAACTCAGTTCTTCCGCCGATCCAAATACCCGCCCATACCATGATGGTTCCACCACTATAAGGATGGACTTCCTGGCAGGATTTTAATCGCTGTTGGCGTCCAGGGGTTCTCCAGTGTCGTATACGTCTTGTATCCGGTCTCATACCAAAACGAGACTCATCAGAAAAGCACACGAAACGCCATTGTTCTTCTGCCCAATTTCTGTGTCCATTGATATCGAATCCTACGATTGTGCATTGCTATAGGTGGTACCCGTAGCGGTCTTCGGGAATGAAGGTTCACTTCATGCAAGCGGTTTCTGACTGTTTGGTCGCTAATTAAGTTCCCTGAAGAGTGATGAAGCCTCACGGCTAACATCATGGCGGTTATTGTTGGAGCTCTTCGAGTTAAGATTTGAATGTATCGGTCTTGTCTCCGTGTGGTCAGGGCCGTGCCTGACGGGCGTTCATTGCGTGCACCGCACGCAGGCGGCCGAAATTAAGAGGCGGCCAAATCGTTACAAGTTGTTTACTGGGCAAAAATACAATCGGCAAAAAACATATAAATCTCATAAAACCGGTTTTTAGCCGGTTTTTCTTTTCAGAAACCGGTTTTGGGAACAAAACCAATATTTTTTTTCGTTCTCGATTTCGGTTAACCAAAATCTGATTTTTTTCCCGGTTTGATGCCCTGTGTATAATAATAAACATTAAAAATTAAAGTAGTTTTTTTTAATGTTATCCTGGGGGCGGCCATACAGACTGGCACGCAGGCGGCCATATACCCAGGCACGGCCCTGCGTGTGGTGCAGCGATACCGTCCTCCATGGCGCTCAGCCACGGTACCAGTGCTTCGGTATCGTGTCCAAAGTCGACTGATAACACTCTGACTTGTATTCAGAGCTAAAGCCACAGTACGTTGCCGGGAACCAGCTTCTATCATTCCCACGGCTCTGAGCATTTCTTCCCTGCTTAAATGACGTCGCCGCTCCATAATAACGTTGGTTTTAATCAGTAGTAGGGAAACAGTAGCACTAATAATGTCTTCAATGCGTTGTATGTTTTTATAGGGAAAATATTGACAGCTGATTTTCATCTTTTACTTGAATTTGATTCACAGTTCCTGATTCAAATTATGAAATGCACCAAAAAGGATCCATATAAATTTATAAAATCATAAATTTATTACAAAGCCACATCTCAATCTCAAGAAATCCGCATAAAAATGCTTGATCCCTAGACACTTTTGATGTGTGTATATAAATCTCGTGTCACAATGTTTGTCCTCAATGGACTCCTAAACCACTGAACCGATTATAATAAAATTCGCACACCATGTGCAGTTCGATCCAACTTGAGAGATAGGATAGTTTAAATCTCAAATTATGGTCGCAATTTTAATTTATTGCAAATTATTACTTTTGGGCGGTACGAAGTTCGCCGAGTCAGCTAGTTATTATATAAGTCTGATTTATAATGGTCATCTTGAGAAGCAAAAAAGCTTTTAAGTATACTCTCTCAAGATGCTACATGCAAGTTGTCTATTCTGTTTCTCGATATCGCCTACGTCTTATGCGGGGTTTCCACTTAGCGCGCAGAATAGTTCTGAGCGAGCAAACATTCGTTCTCTCCAGTGTTTCCACTTTAATGATTTCCTTTCCCCACGCCTCAATTCAGATTTCCCCTTCTTAGGACATTTTTCCCCACAAAAAATATTCTGCTGTAGTTTTTAGATTTGGCACTAGTGTATTAACTAAAGAAAAAAAGGGTCTTAATCTATCTTATTCTATAACAGATAAATAAAATACATGAAATCTGCACGTGTTGCCACAGTTTCTTTTATACGGCAACACTCTAGTCCACGGTATAGTCCATAAAAAAATTGTTCCGTGCCGCATTATTTTAGGCTAGGCTTTACCCATAGTTTCCCGCAATTTCCCTTTCTTCTTCTTCCATATCTTACCCCTTTTTCTTCCCCTCTGGACCCTAATTTCCCCTTAAAAGGGGAATTTCCCCTCATTGTGGAAACACTGGTTCTCTCGGTAAATAGAAATAGCTGAGCGATCGATCTAGTTCGTTCAACGACGAAGCTAGAAGTTCGACAGCGAGAAAATACTAACTTGGTACTGTAACGTCCGTTACGTTACAGCCTCCTTGTTTGGGTAAACTCTTTGTTCATGCAATGCCTACGGCAGGCAGTTATATTAAAAAGTTAATGTCATGATTTTAATATTTTAAATAAGGAATCGTCTGTCTTTTGGTAGAAGGTTCCACATCATGTGGACTTCAGGCACCAAACCATGCGTTAATAAGATTAAGCTCATATATTATATTCGCCTGAAATCTAATAAAACCAATATAAAATCAAAGTTGTTTCAATTATAAAGTTACGCTCCCAGGGCCTACCCCTTCAGGGTAGATCGCCGCAGTACCTATACGAACTTGATACGAACGTTCAAGCTTTTGCTCCGAACGTTTGTTGTGAACAGAATGTTTGCTCATATTATAAGACTATGTAGAACATTATTGATGATACCATTTTGTAACTTGAGCTAGCAATACCTAAATTATGAAATTTGTGAAAATTAATGAAAGTTTTCCGTTGTTGCAGTCCGCCCACATTCAAAACGCTCACGCCGACGTCGCGCACGCAGCTCAAGCAACAGTTGATGCGCGAGCATGCGCACGAGCAATTGCGGAGGGAATCCTTACAAGTGAGTAGTTTATGATCTAAGAAAATTTGTTCCTCCCTTTTGCACCTTTTTTATGTTAAGAGCCCTTTCACATTTTTTGCAAAAAAATAATAATTTTTGAGCGCCTTATTTATATTTACCCCCTTAGAAAAGATTTTGACTATTTCCAATAGAAGTAAACAGTATATTTAGTCTTCCTATTGTAAGTTAATGTAGAATATTTGCAAAAACTATTTTCCTTTTTTTGTACTGATCGTTCTACTGCAGCTACTTTACAGATAAAACGATAATATGCAAAAAAAAAATGCAAACTTCAAACGCCTGAATCTCTCAATAATGTTCAATAAATTAGATCATATTAATTACTGCGACATCAGAAATATGTTTTTGTTGTAACATAATGTATTAGAATTTGGATTTTCCATCTCATTAATTATCAAAAAAAAAAACATCTAATCTCCGTGAGTTTTCCCAAAAAATAATGCAGGTTTACCTCGTATTTTGATATAGAATTAAATAGAATTACTATCAAATATTTTCATAAAACTAATCTACCATCATTGAACTACTGAAATATGTATAAATCTTTATAATTAGTTCATGGATAATTATTTTATAAGGCTCTAAACATCACCCGTAAAATGCAATATATCTAGTGCAAATCCGATTAGTACGGCAGCGGTGCAATTTTGTAAAAGGGCTCTTAAGGAAATACGTGACGCATACCTCGGCTCAGAGTGAGAGACGAGGTTATGTGGGACTCCTCTTCCCTCCAAATCCAGCCCACCTACTCAGCTAGCCCACCCACTAAAAACCTAACAGTGCCGGAAGTGTGCGTCTGTCGGAATGGGTTTCGTGGGATCCAAAGACTCCACGTCTACCCCCGGTAGACGTTAAACCATTTTTTTTTTATTTAAAAGGGTTGTAAATAAGCATATGGCCGCCTGATGGTAAAGCGGCCACCATTGACTTCCATCTACCAACCCAATAATATAGTTATCTAGGACATGATAACTGAAAGGTCGTCTAGATATCACTGTGGATTGGTGGGTGCAAACGACTGCAGATGCAGCGGAGGCCAACGGCTTAACGTGTCTTGCGAAGCTCGGAGAAGTTCCAGATATTGCGAAATTTGGTCACCCATCCGATAAACGGACATTGCGAAAGTTGCTTAACTACCACGATCGCAGACACAGCCCGCTAACTGCTTGCGACATCGTACTCTTCAATTACAGTGACATTATTAGGCTTAGCGGCTTTTTTCATTTTTGCATGTCAGGATTAAGAAAGAAATTTAAATTAGATTATTCTAATCTTCAATAAACCATTGAACTGCGAAAACCGTTCAATACCGTCAGTGGAATTTCAATACTAAAGTATTTAGTGCAAAGTTCTTATTAGATCGTACCAATTTACTACCCGATGTGCTGTTGTAGATATCGTGTAACGAACCCGTCATCTGACTAAGATGATTTGCATACCGGCTGTTTGGAGTAATGCCATATTCATAATATGTATGCATGTTATTATCAAATCAAATATGGTTGTCATCTTTGCATCATGCAATGGTATCGTGGCGGTAGCCATTTATGATCTTATTACGAAATACTTAAATAAATATTGGACATTGATAAATTCTTTTAGCGTCTGCATTTCACCCGTACTAATAACGAGAAGAAACTTTTTGTGAAACAGCGCCATCTAACATGCTTTTATTTAAACATTTTGAGGCCAGCTCGACCTTAGAAAAGTATGATGCTAGGAACTTTCAAGTTTGATTGTTTAAAACTAGATGTCACTGAACTTTTATTATGAGAATGGTAAAGAAAAGTTTACTAGAAAAAAAAAGAAAACCAAGCGCTGCCTTGCAGCTTAAAGCTGGGAAAATTTCGACGCGGCTAATAGGGCCGTGGTAGCATAATGGTCAGTGCATTCGCCCGGATAGCGAAGGATGCGGGTTCGAGTCCCGTCCTTTGCCTGGTCCGCGTGGATCTTTTTAGTAAACTTTTCTTTAGATTTAAACATCTAGCAGTTAAATGCTTAAAAAATAAATAAAATCATAACTATAATTGCTAATTCTTCTTTCAAATGTTTAATACTTGAAAAAGTGTTCATTTGGTATTGTGGGTTGCCTACAGTGCGAAGAGATGGCGCTGCCTTGCAGCTTAAAGCTGGGAAAATTTCGACGCGGCTAATAGGGCCGTGGTAGCATAATGGTCAGTGCATTCGCCCGGATAGCGAAGGATGCGGGTTCGAGTCCCGTCCGCTGCCTGGTCCGCGTGGATTTTTTTCTAGTAAACTTTTCTTTAGATTTAAACATATATTTTTAATTTTATTTTTTAAGCATTTAACTAGCAGTTAAATGCTTAAAAAATAAAATCATGAGAATGATAGTTATTCCTCAATAATTAAAATAGTTACGTAAGTACACAATTGCTATTGTTTAGTTATAAGAACTAAATTAATATTATTATTAAATTAGTACAAGTATTTACTCCATTGCGGCCTCTTTATCTTACTTTTAGTTTATTTTACAAATAACACAAAAGATGGACTTCCTTTAGAGCGCACAAAAACAAAACCTTGCTTCAGTTATAATAATTCTAAACAAAAACTCTACTTGAACCATATTAGCTTGTAAAAATTTAAATGTTGTTTTCCTAAACTTGTGAAAGATCTGCAATTTTCAAATCTGGGAATATGTGCACAGAATGTTATATGTTAAAATATGAGGCTTGGTCATTTCGCTACATTCACATGGGTATAAAGTAAAAATTGTATTCATTGTTCATTAAATTTCTATTTAATAAACCACATATTTTGACTTTGTGTAGAGTTTGTGAATTTAGATCTTGTAGAGCACCGATTACATTTTACATGTAACGTTTTTGATGGGATCCCTAAGCCGTTGTCTCTACTGACCAACTAAGTTTATATAAAAGTGCTTTAACAGCTATCTTCGCCATTGAAACCTTGTCCAGGTAATTTTCTCCAATCTTCATTTAATTCTAACTGTTGTCATATTTTGTCATCCAGGCACAGCAAGCTGGCCAATCCAAAGACAATGAAGAGAAGAAGAAGTCCTCGCCCACAGACGTGCCTCGCATCACGCCGCACGTTGAATTACCTGCACAGGTTTTACAGGTACACACACTTAAGTATTTTTTTGGTAAACAAGCATAAGGCCCGCCTGAGGTTAAGCAGCCACCATAGTCTAATGACACTTCATCATCATCAGCCTATTAATGTCCCCACTGCTGCGGCACAGGCCTTGGCTATGGATCAAATAGGGAGATTGGGCCATGACGCTAACGACTACAGATGCAGCCGGGACCAACGGCTTACCGTGCCTTCCGAAGCACGGAGGAGCTCGTGATAATAAATTCTTGGGTCATCCTTCCAATGACCACTGCAAAAGTTGCTTAACTTTAACGATCGCAGCCGAACGCGCTTACCACTAACGAATCCGATACCCCGTGGAGCCCTGGAACCTTACCCTACGACCTCGACAAGTACTTAGTGTTATTTACTGTAATCTTCTCTCAGGTGAACGGGCGCTCCAATTTGAGCAGTAAACCCGCTATGCCGTACCTCTTAACCCTTCAGCTGTCGGCCGCCATAATAGCGATGATACGTTATCTGTCATGGCTCCTATCGTAAGACAGGGAGGGAGCAGCATGACGGCACTCGGTGTCTTTGAAATCATATTTCTCGAGATTATTGTATGAAGCATATATAAAATTTATTTAACTATTTAATCTTAAAGATATTTACTTGCTATTTATTGATATTTTGAACCAATCATCGCAACAAATAACCTTTGTGTTTTTGTAACGTAATCGAGCATGTGCAAACTTACCTCTGGTCCAAAATCAAAAGTTTCACCCAAAATCAAAAGTTTAACACTTCACAGACTACATATCTGGTAATAATTATCTCACCCTTCAATAATTTCCTAGGAAATTTATCACAATTTTAACTTAAAGTTCCACAATTAAACGCAAAAGACGCGGCAGTGTTGACGACGAACCGTCGACTAACTTCATATGTAAATATTTTTGGTTTTGGCTATGGAATGCTACGTCAATCTTTAAACAAACCGTTAGGTTGGTTCTTCAATATTATTTTGAGCTCTAACCCAAGAAGCTTAAGTCCAACTTATTAACAATTCACATATGTGAAGTTCCCAACCTTCCCAACCGTCCACTTGCCGTCTGGCGGTTAGTACACAGATCTGTACATATTTTTTTTCACCGTCTGACTGTGACTCGACAGCCGAATATAGTATTTTTAGAAATAACTTTTATAACAACATTGTAAAAGAGATAATGATGACTACGAGCGGATTCAAATCATCGTAGGTAAGTATCTCGAATGTACTCTACGTATACAAGACAAGGTTATGTTAGCTTTCCTCCGTGGAACTACCCAAAGGAAACCGATGAGTCCTCAGAGCCTACCCTTTTTTTTGTTTCTGGAAAATGCCTTACGCATCCTTCAACCACTGGGGGAGCGAGAAGAAGGTATGTGGGAATCCTCCCTGTCCTCTTCAGCCAACCCTGGAGCTCGCTGATGTGAACAGGGCCCTACTTACGTCCTGAACAGGGCCACTAAAAACCAGACAATACTCCTGCCCTCACAGAAGGACACCATTGCCTGCCAGGACCTGTCGCTCTCCAGCATGGCTTTCACCACGCCGCCGCGCCGGGTAGCGAGAGGTCCGTTCCTTCAGAGGCCTAGCCACTAAAAACCTCACTGCGCACCCTCGTTTGGGAGTTATATCTGGTTGAAACTTGTGTTTTAAGGTTCTGCTGCAACCTTGCCGCCATTAGCAATGAAAACAAACGTACTAAAATGTTAGAATCACGCCACGAAGCTAAGTTTTCGTCTCAGCTAGCCCTGTAGCTGTTGGCAAAGCCCAGTTGGCGATTACGCGCAGATCGTCGTCGGTAAGGTACTTGTCCCACCGCTGATTGTGTACGAGTATCACTGAGCGAGTATTATCTTTCATAGCTCTTGTCGCCCAACGACTAACTAGTGGAGCGAGTTCGTCGGCGGCAGTGTGAATAGTTAGCAATCAAATATTAATATAAATACATCTCTTTTGTTTACACGGAATGTATATCTATTTTACGTTTCTTGAGCGAGAAAATAGCCGATAATAAGTCGCTTTCTCGCCCGCGGTGGGACAACTTCCTTAGTCTGACCATCAAAAAAAAGCTCTACGGCCCCAGATCTTATATTATTTAGTTCAGAGCTTCCGATTTGTGGTGTAAAGAAGTCTCCTCTGTCGACAGGTCCGAACAGTTCTGGAGAACCCCACCAGGTATCACGTGATCCAGAAGCAGAAGAGCCAGGTGCGACAATATCTCAGTGAATCATTTCAACCACAGACACAGGTAAATATATTGATACTATTAATATTCTTTTAAAAGGCATTAAACTTTTAGATTGTTAAGTAATAGATTGTTAAGCCCGCCATAGAGACGCTTTCCGTTCAAGGCGTTAGGTTGACAATTTCGTTGGCAATTTTGGGGTTCATTAGAGCGCAACAGAATAACAGGGACGGGGTGGGGGGGGGGGGGGGCAACCTTGTGAAGTTCTCCCCATATATCTAAGCCCTTTGAGTCTAGGGCAGCAAAAAAATTTCAACAAACGGCCATGATATTTGGCCGCGTCCAAATCGTCAGTCTTAGGAACAGGAGTTACTGGATGGAGCGTTTGACCACAGATAAAGCGCTCAAGTACGGTGGGATTCTTCACAGGTTGCAAGATTGCCCCCTTACGTTATTCTGCCGCGCTCAAGTAAATTCCAAAACCCTTGCTTAGGCTCCCCAACTATGTATAAGCCACCTAGCAATTTGCCATAATTAAAAATATAAACATACTTCAAACTTACGTTTGTAAAATCTTTCAGATACCTATTCGTATTTGTCAATAAAATTTAAATAAAACTAGTTTTAACGGGTTAATGTACGAAACTTTATTTATTTATTGACGTTTCGCAGCCTTTTCAAATCTTCAGATTCTGACGAAGCAGACCTGAAAAGGCTGCGTAACGTCAATAAATAAATAAAGTTTCGGGCATTAACCCGTTAAAACTAGTTTTATTTAATGAGTGATGTGCGTGAAAACCTAAGAAACAAATAATTAAAATTTAACTTGCAAAATGAGCTGAAATAAGGAAAAAAGAGAACGTACTTCAATGTACCAACGCCCTCAATACTTTAAAATTTCACTTGTAAGACATTTTAATGTTTAGGGCGTGAAAGATTTGAAAATCTGAACTTCGTCATGCTTTCGCACACTTGGTATGATTATAAAAATTAGGAAGTTTTAGTTTCAATCTGGCATAAATAAGTTCTCATTAGCTGTATGAAGACTTTATTTAACAAAGTTTACGTAAACTAGAATGAAAAGTTTTTCAGCGATTTAGGGTTGGCTATTATAAAATCATAGATATCAATTTAATAAAAGCCATTTAAATGGTGGCTTAAAGATTAAATGTTTACATTAACTTAGAAAGATATTATATTTTGTGTTTATTAAATACATATAAGAAAAACTTCCAAAGCTTTTCTGTATACTATTAATTACGGCTTTTTGAGTTAATAAAAATATTTTAATTTTAATATATATTTTTATCTAACTACAATTAAAAATTACTGATTCAATTTCAAGTGATTATACCGTACCTTGCTGTTCATATACTTTATGAAAGATGAAAATATAAAATATAAGATTTTGAATTCTATGGTAACTGCATTATGCTCTTTCTCAAACTAAAAAATATTCCTAACGTAGTTTAAAACGCACCACTGATTAGGTTTGGATAATTAAAAAAAAACTTATAATGAAAATTGAACTGTGACAGATAAATCTTGTGACCGCATTTCATTTTAAAAACATGGACTTACTATTATATTTTTATTTTAAAGCATTCAACTGCTTAAAGTTTAAAATCTAAAGAAAATTTTACTAGAAAATATTGCACACGGTCCAGGTTACAGGCGGGATTCGAACCCGCATCTTCGTTAGTACATTTGCCCGGGTAGCGGTGGTTCGAAAATTTTCTAATTTCTAATTCACAAAAATTCTATGGACTTACTATATAGGTGACTAGCGGCCTGCCCTCGCTTCGCTTCGGTGTAAAGCTGAAGTGTAGACTACAGTTTTTGTTATCAGACTTGTATTATACACAATGACATTCATCTATGATTCTTCTTATACCTGCATGCAAAGTCTCAGCCCGATCGGTTTAAAATTGACAAAGTTTCACACAAACTTTCATTCCCTATTTTATCCCCTTGGGGGTAGAATTGATCAAAATCCTTTCTTAGCGGATGCCTATGTTATAACATTACCTGCATGCCAAATTTCAGCCCAATCCGTCCAGTGGTTTGGGCTGTGCGTTAATAGATCACTATGTCAGTCAGTCACCTTTGAGTTTTATATATATAGATATACGTAGAAACTATTAAGTAATCTGAGGTAGTGCGTCCATGTTCTAATCAAATAGGATTTTGACAACCCTGGTGACTAAACGTTTTCGAAGTGCAGTTTTATTCCATTTCGTTGTTTGTGTGTACGAAGATGCTTTTGATCTTCTGCAAAACTTTTACACGTGTTTATTCACTATGTCCGGTCAAAGTCTCCGTGATTTCATTGTTAACACTCCAATGTAACGTGTTTTGACGCATTTATTCCTTTAAAAAATTGGCAAACATTGTATACATAAGATTTGGTAATTGAATCTGGTATGATCTTGTTTAGCTAGACATATTCGTCGATAAACATTTTACGATTGCGGTAAAAAATACATAGACGCGTGTCAAATGGTACCAACAACTTAATAATATCAAGATTAAAACATTTCTCTCCAAAAGCCGAATATTGTCTTGTATTTCTTCAGTCGTTTTCTTTCGGAAAACCGGAAACTTATATATTTGACCTGACACTACCCAAAACAGATGACAACTCTATATCATTAACGGTGTTCATGTGACTAATTAATATAAAAATTAAAAAAAAAAATGTTTTAATTGTTGACCAGTATTATATTGTTATTTTTGTACTACATATAATAATTAATTTTATAAAATATACTTAAATTTCTAAGCATGTTTAAGAAAAGTATATTTCTGCCATAATTCACACTCCGAAGCGAATTTTGTACCAAAGCTATCCTAAGCTTTGTCACGCAGGCGTGGGAGAGTATCATGATGATGCAATACGCGTTCTCTTGATAATTTTGTGATGATGATTTTCGTCAGGTATCAGGTGTTAGTCGAGGGGCGCCGGTGCAGTCAGCCCCGGAGCTGGGCGCTCAGCGGTCACAGTCACCGGACCGTGCGTCTTCTTCCGGCCTACTGTCCCCTGGGCTATGCTCCGTGGGCACTACCAATTCCGAGGTAAGATCTGTACTTATTATAAAGCTTGAAATTTATCTCTGGCTTTATAAGATTTTACAACCCCAACGCAATACTATAAGAGTCTATTTTATCTTATTCAATCATCATCATCATCATAATTAAGCTAATTCAATGATTATTATCTATAATCAATCACATTTAACCTTACTATATTTGCTCAAAATGACAATGGTATGTGGCCGACCCACAGTCAGCTTCATTTAGATTAGATACACGTACATCAGCGTGAGGTATCCGTTGGGTGAAAGATATATTGCGACGTTTGAGGCATGTCACAAGCCTATGGCAGTATAGCTGCACAGGCTCAGATGCGGGCCTTGGTGAGGGTGATCTGTGGTTCGAGCCGACAGTTTTTTGAGTCGTCTACGAGATGGATTTAACAACTAATTTGAACAATATAAACTTACGTATTTTCTGGAAGTTAACATCAAACAACATTAAGTCTTTTATATGTATTAGGGCCAGTCATCATCAGGCTCACCTTCCATCAAGCCTTTCATTTGTGTTTGAGTATAAACGTGTATTTGAAACTAATTTAAAACGCTTCCAGACGGAAGAGTTCCTAGAGGACATCCTCTCCCTGGATGGGGGGGCGGGCCTGTCATCATCAGGCCCGCCCTCCACCGCCAGCTCAGTAGCAGGGGACTGTGCACTATTAGCAGACGCGGATTATCATGCCCTCGCGAAAGATCGACAGAAAAAGGATAATCATAATATGAGTGAGTCTCATTTCTATCTTCTTCTTCACTAAAAACCACAGTGGCAGGGGACTGTGCTCTTCTGGCAGACTACAGAAAATGGAAAAATGGATAATTTTTTCCCCGCTAAATGCAAGGAAAATGACGCTTTCAAAAGACTGCCAGGGTAAAGACAACCGCAACTTGAGTGGGTATCCGCCTTCTTCTTCGAAAGCAATAACTGCGTGCTTGGATCGTCAAATGATAGACAATTTAACTAAATGTGCTTTATTTTAATATGACAGGGTTTTTGACTCAACTTGAGAAAAAAAACTATAAAAGCATTATTGCGATAGTTTAGGCAAAAACTAGTCGAAAAATGTTAGTTTCAGTTCATAAAATAAAAAAAATATTTTCAAATTAAATTAAAAGTTTTCTTTCATCTGTTTTAAAACACGATGAAATAGTAGATGCCGCCACATTATTACGTCACACCGCTAGTACGTGTATATGGCAAAGTGTCAGCTGTCAACTTGGTACTTAATGTTTTCGTAACCAAGGTAACGCATTTATTTACAGTACTAATGACGTCAAGACCGCAGTGCAATATGGCGTCCACTACGTCTAGCGTTTTTGTTTAACTACGCGTAAATTTTGAAAATGTTAATGCATTTTTAAGGCACTTTGATTAAATAATAAACATACCTTTTTTAGTAGATATTAGTTCTTTAGAATTTAATTGAGACACTTTTCAAAAATGGTTTCCATTTATCTGTTTATTGCTTTTTTCAATTTATCTTCTATCCAATACAGACAGGATTTCGATGAATTTACAAATATGTATGTTTATCTTTAGTGGTATTGCATTAGAATCTTTTAAGTTCTATTTTAATCCCTATATTTTCGTGTTATATATATCGTCCATAGACTTGGACTTGATGTCAGATAGTATGCCTTCAAAGAACTCCTTTTTCTGATTGTCAGACGCTGATATATACGCTCTGGTCAAAGACCGCCAGAAGAAGGACAATCATAATATAAGTGAGTACCTACCAAATAACTGTATAATTTAAAAGTTTAGTTACAGCTAAAATTCCATAAATAATAGTAAAGCTAAATTGCTGACTGAATGGAAGCTGATTTCATAAACAAAGATTTATAAGAAGAAAAAAGGGTGTTACAAAAAATCGATTTCTAAGAATAAAACATGAACCATGGTTCGAGTCCCGTCTGCTGCCAGGTCCGCGTGGATTTTTTTCTATGAGAATTTTCTTTAGAATAAACATATAGCAGATAATTGTTTATAAAATATAACTATAATTGCTATCTCTTCTTTCAAATGTTTATTACTTGTAAACATATTCATTTGACATTGTGGGTTACCTTCAATGCGAAGAGATGGCGCTGCTTTGCAGCCTTAAAAAAGGCTAGAGCAAAATTCGATACGGGCATCAGGGCCACGGTAGCATAATGGTCAGTGCAAGGTGCGGGTTTGAGTCCCGTCTGCTGGCTGGTCCGCGTGGATTTTTTTCTATTAGAATTTTATTTAGATTAAACATATAGCAGATAATTGTTTAATTAATATAAAATATAACTATAATTGCTATCTCTGCTTTCAAATGTTTATTACTTGTAAACATATTCATTTGACATTGTGGGTTACCTTCAATGCGAAGAGATGGCGCTGCCTAAGAAAGGCTAGAGCAAAATCGATACGGCCATCAGGGCCGCAGTAGCATAATGGTCAGTGCATTCGCCCGTTAGCGAAGGGTGCGGGTTCGAGTCCCGTCTGCTACCTGGTCCGCGTGGATTTTTTCTAGTCAAAATTTTCTATAAACAAATCTGTTTTTCAGTCGAACGCCGTCGTCGGTTCAACATAAACGACCGCATCAAAGAACTCGGGACCTTACTTCCAAAGACCAACGACCCGTTCTACGAGGTCATAAGGGACGTGAGGCCCAACAAGGGGACCATTCTCAAGTCCAGCGTGGACTACATCAAGTGTTTACGGGACGAAGTTAACAGGCTCAAGCAGAGCGAGCAAAGAAGAAAACAAATTGAACTCCATAATAGAAAACTTATGCTTAGGATACAGGTAATTATAAAATTTAATTGCAGCTCGATATCCAATCATGGAAGTTCCGACTGCAAAAAAGGTGCATAAGAATATTAGGCAATTTATGTGTTATGGATAGCTGCAAGCCGTACTTTGCCAAATTCAATATATTAACTTTAGCATCCCTATACATCTATCCATGAGGACCTCGATGGCGCAAGTGGTTAGCGCGTTCGGCTGCGATCGTTGAATTTAAGCAACTTTCGCAGTGGTCGGTCGTTGGATGGGTGACCAAAAATCTTCTATCTCGAGTTTCTCCGTGCTTCGGAAGGCACGTTAAGCCGTTGGTTCCGGCTGCATCTGCAGTCGTTAGCACCCGCCAATCCGCACTGGGCCCGCGTGGTGGGTCATGGCCCAATCTCCCTATTCCATCCATAGGGAAGGCCTGTGCCCCAGCAGTGGGGACATTAATAGGCTGATGATGATGATGATGTATATATTGTGAATGAATAAAGTTTTTACTCATGTTCCTTTCATAATGATGTGTGTTTGTCCTGTAGGAGTTAGAGAGGCTAGCCCGCATGCACGGGCTGCCAGTGAGCGCAGGCGCCGAGGGGTGGAGCCCGCACGACGCGGACGTCCCCGACCCGCCCCCCTCCCCTTCACCTGCCCCCCCACCCGCTGCTACTTCCGCTTCCGCTCCGCCTGTAAGTATATTTTTTAACTGTTGCATAGATTTTCACGCGGGCTTTGAGCGCGGCGACGAAATAACCTGACAACAGTACATATGAACACAATTTTCGCCTTTCTAGTATCGATCGAAACGGCACAGTGTGGTAAATTTTTGCCACGGGACCAACGTTCTACGCATCACCGCGGTCGTCGGTTCAAATCCCGCACTTTATTTTCTATTATATTCTTTTTCCTTTTTTTTCTATATTGGTTTTAGACCCCAGCACCTGTTCTTATTTTTATTTATCTCCCTTTTATTTAGACTTTATAATTATAATTTAGAAATTTGGACTAAAGATGGTAAACTGTGGAGCTTGTGGAAGTTTTTTGGCGCCGGGCAATGCTGTTGTTTGCTGTGCTTGCCCAATAAAATATCATAAGGCCTGCTTCGCCGCCATCTGTTAATATCAAAGAAAAAAAAAACTGCATAAATAAAATAAATTAATGATTATAATTGCATAAGTTGATAAATAATGCTATGCATGTTTTACCGCGGCAGTCCCCGAATGCCGCACGAATTTTTTTTTAGATAGGTCCGACAAATGACTCCACCCCACCTGATGTTAAGTGACGGTGGAGTCCAGACGCGAAGATAGCTGATACAGCAGTTCTACCTGCCACACCAGCCATCCTCACCCTGCCGGCCTGCATGTTGCTTCTTCACGCCTCTTTTAAAGGATCCCAGGTTGTAAGAGGGAGGGAACACGTGAGCGGGCAGAGCATTCCATTGTATGAGTATGCTAAAAGAAAAAGACATTTCTACAAATACAAATATATTTATTAAAATTTACATCATACAGTCAGCTTCTAACCATGGGTCCAACTAGGTGGTCCTGTATCGTGGGCACCCAATGAATGTAAAAAAGATAGCAACAGCTTGAAAAGTGAAATTACAGAATACAGAAACTAACTTTTTTACTACGTTTTAAAGAAATAAAAAGTGTGCGTGTGTGTGTGCGTGTGTGTGTGCGTGCGTGTGTGCGTGCGTGCGTGCGCATTTTGACTCTAACACCATTTAACATCAGGTGGGGTAGTGTCATTTACCTGCCTACCTGGCTGGCATATATATAGCAGGCAGCCAGGTAAATCTCATAAATTTTGGTAAATAATGTCCCATATGCTTTAAACAACGAATACTGAAAACGCCTGTTTATAATGAACTCTACTCTATTAATAATGAAATATACATATATGATATATTTACATCATATATTAATATTGAATCGTGTTTTTTTACAGGAAGTGGTGTTACCGAAAACAGAACCCTCCCCACTCATGGAGCTGGGTGAACAACCTCCAGATCTATTACGGGACATGCCTTCCACGGAGTGCCTCAACGCGCTGGACGCGTTAGGTGAGTCTATACTTCATTACCAGCCTGTTAATATACCCACTGCTGGGGCACAGGCTTTCCCTATGGATGGAATAGGGAGAATGGACCATGAACTTTCATGGCGCATTGGTGAGTGCAGATACAGCCGAAACTATCAGCTTGCCATGTCTTCCGAAGCACAGCGGATAATCAATTTTCTGTCACCCATCTCATAACCTGCCATTGAAAAAGATTCCTCTAATGACATGCGTTGTCAAAATCAATAGCGGTAAGTTTCGGAAATAGTAATTTACTAATATTTATGGAGTCCATAAAAACGAGATATTCATCATTATGTTGTGTATTATAGTAAAAAAAAATGCAATTTTCAAGTTACCGCGATAATATAAACAATGTATATAAATGTTGCCTACTGAATACGCAGCTTTTTAGAATATTATAATAAATAAAAAATAAAATATGTTTATTCTCTTTGACTTAACCTATTATTATCTAATAACATTGTTGGTGCACTCATTTTAAGTATAGCGATACCTGTAGTGGCACCGCTCTTCCATCACCGTTACAAGATTAATCTAAAAGATGAATTTACATCAAACTAAAACTATAGTTGTAGGGGAGTTAGTGTGTGTGAGTGTGCATGTGGTGTGTGTATGTGTGTGTGTGTGTGTGATGCACTTTGTGTGTGTATATGCTGTACTTTATGTGTGTATATGAATGAGGATATGATATTATTGATTGGAATTTTCACATTATACTTGACGTTTCGGATCCTTTAAACACAATAGTTTTTGTTCTTAGTTTAATAAGTTGTATTTTCTGTTGGCTTGCTAATATTCCTATTCTGTCTCGCAGACGGACTGAAGCTGGGCGGTTGTTCTCCTTTATCTCGAAGCTCCGCGTTGTCGCTGGGCTGCCTGGAGCCACAGCTTTGCCTCGAAGCCGACGTGTTCTCGCATAAAGACATCAAGGTACTATAAACAAATTGGTTGGAATGGAAATCGTGTAAAGACGTATTTTGAAGATAATCAATCAGACCCCAGGGAAACATCAGATCGGTAATAAGTGCGGTAAGTTGAGAACTTACAGCCGAGGCGATATTGTATTTTTATAAGAAGGCAGAGGCTGTAATTATCAAATCGCACGTATGTCATACTACGTTTTATAACACATTTGCGAGGAAATAATACTACCTACGTACGTAGTTTCTGAAAATGATTTTGCACCTTTGTTTGTCTTCCATAAGATGAAATTTTGATACGTTTTACTGTAAGTATCTATCCGTGAATTTTTCGGGCAAGAGGTTTAGCGTAGCCTTTTTCGACTTCTGGCGGTGTCAAATTAATATATTCGTAACTACTTGACAATATTTTCAAATAAAAACAATACAGCGAAAAGAAAAAGAAATAACTTTTTCACAGATTAGCGATGCGCATCAACGCTACTTTTTTTTAGGCAAAGGAACAAAAAACAGCCAGGGTTACTAATAAAGTAAATGAATATTTTCGTGAATTTGTTACCGATATATGGTTGTTATTCATTGTCAAAATGAATCAAATTAAAGAATTAAATGTTTATGTATTATATTTTATCTCCTTAAGTTAATTTTATTAAGAAAATGTTGGATACCTTTCTGACATAAAAACTCTTTGCTAAGATTTAAAAAAGTATCGTTCGTTTTAGACGGAACATAATAAGCCGTGCGTTTTACTTTACATTACCGCACGCGAGTGTAATGTGATAGATTATGATATTGAAATTGGTGCAATAAGAGACTCTTTATGAGCAAATGTGTTATAAAAAAAATACGGCATTACAGTCTGCATGACGTTTACCGGAATAAGCATCTATAGCACGAAGAAGTCAAGCTGCCACCACCACTACTTCTCATATTGTTTTTGAAGTAATAATTTCTTAGGGTAGGTTAAACCGCTTCGTTACGTAACGCGTTACAGCGTCGGTCTGTCTGGCTTCCCTTCGCCGCGAAAGGAGATAGACGCCACAGCTCGTCCAGGTACCAGATTGATCTGTATGTACCTTTAGCTTAGCACGAACCATTTTAGAATTCGAATAGTTTGAGAGTCCGAAATGTCATTTTCAAATTTTGTATGGAAACTTGAACAGCAGCTCTCACACGGACGTAACGAGAACTAAAAATAATAAAATAAGTAATGAAATGAAAAGTCATTTATTCAGTCTAGGCTGTTACAAGCACTTGTGAAGGTCAGAAGCTACGCCATCGGTTCGCAAAACTACGGCGGGAGACCTTGTACTGAGAAGAACCGGCAAGAAACTCAGCAAGGGCTGCTTTTTTCTCCCTGTATTGATATATACAGAGTCGTCAAGTTGAAAAATGACTTCAGAGATACTTCTGAAGTCACCTTCCATTACATCATTTAGGATATAGATATATAGTTACAATAAATTTTGTATTTAGTATATAGGAAGCGGCATTAGATAGGTACCATATTACTGTTACAAAAACTGACTAATACCCATCAAATAACAAATTACAAGAAACACTATGTACATATTTGACAGTGACATTTCGCACTCGCAAACTATTCGAATTCTATATTGGTTCGTGTTAGGGGTACCGTTTTCAAATTTTATTGAATTAATCCATCATTTGTCCGTTACAGATGCGCTTATCGCCATCGCCCGGGTTACTGGGCGACGACCCGGACGCAGTATTGAACCTGGCTCAAATCGAAGACCTCATGGACGATGACTCACATAACCCCGTCACACAAGGTATAAAAAACCTTATAGTGCATTTAAAAAACGTTTTAGAAAACGATTTCACGTTATTAACTATTTTTTATGGATATACTATTTTTTATAGATAACATGCTAAAACAATCCTAAATAATTCCATGATAACCAGTATCGAGCGTGTAACGGAACGTTTTGAATACCTTCTCAGAGAAGACATTGGTATCGATTCTGGCACGATTCTCTAAATCTAAACTTAAAATTGACAAAAGTGTATCCTTGTCCATTTCTATACAGAATGAAAAAGAGAGATTGATGTTTTTAATTTTAAGTTTAGAGAACCATGCCAGAATCGGAACCAATATTAATCAAATTTATTTGAGCGAAGGTATTATGTCGGTTCACCGAGTTACCCTCCATTTTTCATGCTCGTCCGGAAGAGCTGCACATGCATTCCACACACACATACACACACACACACACACACTCACACACACACACATACACACACACACACACACATATATATATATATATATATGTATATATATATATATAGTCTTGTGATGATGTGTGATAGTTTTATCGTTTTAATAGGATTTTTCCATTTACACCCCGTCCGAAAATAATTAATTTTCACTTCAGAAATAATCATTACAATATTTCTCATCTCCAGGTGACCCAATGTTGTGTTCTTCCCCCACATCGCAGCTGTGCCTCAGCGACGTAGTAGCAGAAGCTGTGGACAGGAACATAACCTCGATCTTACACGACGACGCACCTTCCTACAACCACTCAACAGGTACTTACATAATGTATTTGTACGTGGCTGTTTACGTGGTGTACTTATGCCTGTATGGTTGTATATTTAGCGGTGTGTTTAGGAAAAATCGTAGATTTTAAGGTGATTTTTATTGTTAGGTCCTTGTACCTTAGTTATATTATGTAATTACATTTGATTGCTAGAATATTGATACAAAAAATAATTAAATACCCAAAAAAATATCGTAAAGTAAGTAACGGAAAGAAGTTATCTTTGCGTTTGGACTTTATCACCACTTAACATTAGGTGGGGTAGAGTCATTTGCCTACCTGGCTATAAAAAAAAAAGTTATGCTTGGTAAGAATTTTGGTACTTAAGTTATTTTTTAACGACAATTCGTTCCCTACAACATTCCACAGGTTCTTATATAGTGTATCTGTACGGGGTTGGTTTATTTGTTGTACTCTATGGATGTTTATTTAGTGGTTTTATTATGAAAAAATCGTAGATTCTAAGATGTTTTATCAACTGATTTTAAGTTCCTATTTAAATGATTTTTATTACATTTATTCATAGAATATAGGCTAAAATAAATTGAAACACAAAAAAATAATCGCAAAGTAACCGAAGGAAGTTAGTTTAGGTAAGAATTTTAGCACTTAAGATATTTTTCACGACAATGATGACACGCTGTGTCTTCACGAATGTGATATATTTGTGTCTTTATGGGTTTATACTTGGTGTGTTTGGAAAACGTTGTAGGTAACGCTGCTATTAGAATAAATTAGTTTTTACACTATATAAATATTTGCAAAAATATTCATGCCGAACGAAACATTAAAAAAAGTAAGTTAGGTATACACAAACATCAAAAACACACACACACACACACACACACACACACACACACACACACAAAATACATCAAATTATAAGAAAAAGCAAAATTAAAAGAGTGTTTAGTTTACCTTTCGCTATCTGAATATTTTTTTTTAATATATTTTATGGAAGTAGAGAAATTCGACTCGAAACTCGCCCTAGACTGGAATCGAACCGACACCATTTGCTATCTTGGTGAACGTCTGATCACACCTTTCTTGCTGTCGAATTCTTCTATACCTTATGCTGCAAGACAGCGCAATTTCTTCACATTGCAAGCAACTACAATGTCTAATGAGATACTATTTAACAAGTATCAATAATACATTAAAGAATATGAAAGAAGAAACAGCAATGTATAGGCGCAAACTCCTTGAGGAAAACCACAAAATTGCGCAGTAGAAGTTTTTGTGTGTATAATTGCGACTGCGCAGGCTTTCTTGTCTATGGTTGTTGCTCAATAAGTTTGGCGGGTTGTATAGCTTTGTTATATTTTTGTTAATATACCTAAAGAGAATTTTACTGAAATGGTCAGGCTTATCTGTTTGGATAGCAAAGGGCGATGGTTCGATTCCAAATTGTAACCTGCAGTGATATTCTGTAAGATTAAAGTCACTTTCCACCGCGGAATTCGCTGGTGTGTTTTGGAATTAATGTGATATTTTGAACATTTATTTCTTACTACAGGTTTGATTGTAGGTAATTGTAATTTAATAGTTTTGATTTTTGTATAATTGTAAACCTTGTATTTTATAAATATATTGTATAGAGTCTGTGCGAAAAGAGAATGGGTGTGGCGAAAAACGGAACTAACATTAAGATTTTTATTTATCAATCAAACCCAGCAATCTGTAAAACGTCAGAGTTTGGTATTGATACGGATTTGTTTGATGTTGTGATTTCTTGCGGTTTTATGTATTTAATCTTATCTAAAAGGGGTAAAACCTTACAAATACGGTACAAAAGCACTACAGCGCCCTCCAACTAAATCCCATTCTCTTTCCGCACAGACTCTACCTTGTAATAAGGTCGAAATGTAGTGACACTAAACTTTTTACCTAACACCAATTTGCTATTCTAACCTACCTACATGTCACAATAAAGCATTTGAATTTGGATTCCGAGGTGTAAAGTGAGTTAGTTCTAGGTCTTTTCCTATAAGTAGGTATAGAAATAAGTAGTTCTAATATAAAAATTCTTGAATGAAAAAAACAAAAAAAAAACAGTGCTTTTGCTTGCGCACAATGCTTCTGCACTGACATTTAAGCAAATGCTTCTGCTGGTAGCGGTTTTTAAGTTATTGCTATAAACGCTTCGTATTCCGCCTTCGGAATACAAATTGTTTATCGCAAGGCAAAAAAAACGTCACAATACAGCTCTAACTGCTACATTATTAAAGCTGTATTAATTGAAATTGTATTTATACCCAAATGAGAAAATGATATTGAGCTAATAGCCTACATTCCAAAGTTCATTTTCTTCTCGATAGCAATATACTTAATAAGGAAATATAAATAAAAGCTTTCAGTGCCACTAAGATCTTGAGGCACTTTTATGACATTGACAGGTGGGCGCTGCTGATGAATTAGTGGTGAAATGAGGATTACTAAGTAACTAAGCAGAAATTTTAAAAATTTGAACAAACTTGTATTGAGTAACAATCCCAAAACTTCGCGTTTCAATAAAAATGGTTATGCAATGGCTATAAAAATATATAATAAAGTACCTGACAATATTAAGCAACTACCCTACAACAGGTTCAGAATAGTATTAATAAATTGGCTATTGGATAAATGCTTTTATTCTGTAGAGGAATTTTTAAAAAATAAGTCCTGAATATTGAAATGAATGTCGATTTTGGATTAATTTTATTTTGAATGCATATAATATATTGTCATGAATATTACTTTTGAATTGACATTGGGAATTGTAATTAATGTTGACATAAACTTGAATTTAAATTATAATGATAAAATACTTGTTATTAAATGAATGATAGGTAAATTTAATATGACTGTTATGTTTTTATATTTTTTGCATGCTATTAATATGGCTAAATAGGTTTAAGATTCTTAGCTTTTAACATATGCTTTATATGCAAACACCTTTTGTCAACCCTACTTAATCACTAAAGGGAACGTTATAATCTGTACATATAATAAAATGGTAGGAAATTCAAATCTGTTTATTGAATATTTTTTTAAAAGAATACTTGGGGTGTGATCTACAATCGATACCGAAGCCAAAAATATAGTTTTTAGAATTTTTATCCGTTTGTCTGTATGTATGTCCGGGATAAACTCAAAAGTACTGCATGGATTTACTTCAAATTGGGCATGAATATTATTAAGAAGTCGGGTCAACATATAGGCTACATATTATCACGCTATCACCTACGGGGAACGAGCAGTGAACCTTTATTTCTTCGACGTATTCTGTATAGAGCGTACGAAGTCGCGAGCGGCCGCTAGTTTATAATAACTCGGAGAGATCAAAAGTAAATATTAAAGGCTTATTTGCACCTTTCTGTATAAATAAAAGGCTTATTTATATCTTATTAAAATTAGTTCCGATTACGTCCACATGCCACAAGATCTTCTTGTTCTTCTTCTTGTAGCATTGTAGACAAGTGTTAATAATAGGGATGATGACAATTTTTTTTTCTTCGTTTATCAGGTAGATTATCAAAAAGTATTGGACACGTTTTTTTTTCTTTTTTCACATAATATAAACATTGCAGAGATATATTGATTGGAAATGTCGCATGACGTCACGAGCCCCCACTCCCAAACATAATGCTCTTTAATTTTGTCATTTTTGGTTGATAGGCAAAAGAAAAATTAAGTGTCCATTATTTAGATAATGTACCGTCAGTCCATCAGGACTATATAAACTTTGGTTTGTTTTACCCTGTCATCATCACTAATGACCATATTGACGAATAAAATAATTAAAGGAGTTATTAACTCACCCTTTTGGCAGGTTTCGGCAGGCGAAGTACATACACTTGCGGCATGTATTTCGATCTATGTCTGTAGTTAGACATATTTTGCTTTATTCCAAAACGTAGACTGAACTTGATACTGAGCCTTAAGCACGAATTTTTTACAGCTCCGTAATGTATAGTCATCGGGAAATTTTGTATGGAAGAAGCTAGTTTGTTCCTACGTCCGAAAGGGGCGCTGCTTACTATAGAAACTATGATGTTGCGATACGTTACGGAGCTCCCCGCAACAATGGCTAACTAGAGCTGAGGTCCGAGTCTCAGAGACACCGTGTAGTTGAGCCGACCCTCAGGTTCAAAGTGGTCTAGACGCTCCAGACGGAGAGGAGACTCCCCCCGCCCCGTGGGGAGATGCCATCCGCCTATAATACCTCTAGAGGCACACGCTAATAGGGTATTTGACAGTATTAAAAATAAAGTGCCGATTGTTATCATCTGTGTTTAGAATGAATATTGGCAGGGGTTTTTACTATTTTAACAAAAAAATATTCATAATTTTACTTAAAAACCCACGAAAAAGATTATAGTTTTCTTATCTATTGTCACGTGACCCAAAACGCTTGGGATTGGCGGAGCCTAATATGACGTCACACGCAAGTAAACTTCCGGTTAAAGTGACATTACATTGTATCGTTTGACGTCACACACTAGTAAGACTCCATATTGTCTAGAGAAACTTGAAAATGGAGTTTTTGATTTGGTTATTTTTGTTGAAATACACAACAGAATGATGAATATCCACTTTTTACGGACTCCATAAACATGAGTCAATAACGTGAGATCGTTTTCTAAAACTTGTCAAATACACTATTCACGGCTTGAGGTCCCCTTAGGATCTCGCCGTCTCCAAACCCGATGATGCTGTAAAGGTCATCTGCGACCAACAACATACACACTAAAAAAAACGTTACGGAGTTGTTAAAAATTCGTGCTTTGGGCTCAGGACATGACTACCCTGAGACGCGCTATACGTTGTAGCTTGATACTTGGCTGTCCAGTTTTACTTCACAAGCGCAACGCGCTGTCCAAAATCTTTATCATAGCTTGAGGTAGAAGTAATATTGAGTGGTAATGTAATGGGATTAGATATTATTAGCCTTACAAAACGTAAACTAAAGTTAAACCAGGACTAAAACCGATGTTGTCACTTTTGTTTGCTTAAAAGAAGACGGAGACAACATTAGGTGTAAACCAAGAGTAACTTTAGTCCGCGTTTTGGAGTAAGGCAGATAATTATGTAGTTAGACGTATTCTCGCTTATTACAAAAAAAGGACTTAGGCCCGTATTACAGAATGACAAGATCTTTACTTGAGTACAGTTAGAAAGGGATATCGCTATGTGCTATATATAGCGACATCTCTTTCTAACTATGCTCAGGACTAGATCAATCACTGAGAATCTTTCTATAATACGGGCCTTAGTCTTGGTTTAGAACTAATGTTGTTTTTCTTTTCTTTTTAGCAAACAAAAGTGACAGCGGTGTCGATTCTGGCATGTTTCTCTAAACTTGAAACTAAATTTAACATCAGTCTCTCCTTTTCATTCTGTATAGAGAATAACAAGGATACACTGTTGTCAAAAAGTTTAGAGAATCCTGTCAGAGTCGACACCAGTATCAGTACCCCTAGCACGAACCAATATCGAATTCGTATCGTTTGCGAGTCCGAAATGTCAATGTCAAATTTTGTATGGAAACTTGAACGGCAGCGCCACAAAGTACGTAATGAGAACTAAAAATCAGTACACATTTGACAATGACAGTTCGGACTCGCAAACGTTACGAATTCGATATTGGTTCGTGCTAAGGGTACAGTTTTAGTTTAGTCTGCGTTTTGTTATAAGGCGGCTTGAGTCGTAATGTACTGGGATTAAGGTTCGCTTTTGCTTGCAGGCGGCGCGCTGCTGGGCGAGACTGGGCTGGGGCTGGGCGACGCCTGCCTGCCGCTGCTGCTGGGCGCCACGCACGCGCCGCACCACCAGCATGCTACCAACCACCACCACTGCTTCGATATGGACTTGGGCGCGTGACCTTATATCTCTATACCATCCCGCTAGTAGATCCTGTCGGCAAGTTAAAATTATATAGACTATTTAATGGGCGATATGCTCGCGCGCATGCGGGTATAGGTCCATCGATCCACTGTGCTCTACCGGCAACACTAAACTAGGACAAATCAAACATAAAATGGAAGACTTTAAACTGGGCGTCACGCACCCATACTCTCCCATCAATATACTGCGTGATCTGCCGGCAAATGAAGCCCTTAGCCCATCGATCCACTGTGCTCTACCGGCAACACTAAACGGGGACAAATCAAACATAAAATAGAAGACTTTAAACTGGGCGCCACGCCCCCATACTCTCCCATCAATATACTGCGTGATCTGCCGGCAAATGAAGCCCTTAGGTGCTGCTTCGACATGGCGTCACCCTACGGTCGCTCTGTACCACCCACTACCACTCCGCTAGTATTCCTTCTGCTGCGACACAATCATTAATATATTGTGAATCTTCCGGCAAGAAACACTAAACTAGGAGGCTATAATATACTGTTGGTATCCACAACGTTACTGCTGCGAGAATACAATCCTCCCATTGTGTATCTACTGTCAAGATTGACTCTAAATCCGAAAACTGTATACGTAGCTGGCTGCTGGGCGACACGCGTGAAACTACCACCACTACTGCTTCGACATCGATCTGGACGCGTGATATCAGAACTCTGTACCACCAGCTAGTAGTGCTTCCACAACGGACATACCGTGATACGGGCAAATGAAACCACTAGGTGCTGCTTCGATATGGATCTGGCCGCGTGAAATTAGTAAGGTTTTCAAGGCAATTACTACTACTATTTGGACTCGGAGCCCTTCCATCCGAGTACCACTCCGCTAGTTCTGTTGTCCCCCTCCCCTACTGTGTATCAGCCGGCAAGTAAAAGTGCTGCTTCGACATAGATCTGGACGCGTGACCACAGAGCGCTGTCACTACTGCTTCCATGCATCATGCCCTGTCATCACCACACTCATTGCCGGCAAGTGGAACCACCACTGCTTCAACATGGATCTGGGCGCGTGATATCAGAGCTCTGTACCACCCGTCTACTATCCCACTAGTATCACTTCAATATGGACAGTATATACGTAGACGGGCCACATCATACACACGCGACTAATCACCACCACTGTTTCGATATGGACTTGGGGCGTGATATCAGAACTTTGCACCACCCGCTAGTATTGCTTCCACTGCGGGTATACAGTTACACAGCCATCAATCAATCTGCTGTGCTCTGCCGGCAAAACTAAACTGGGAGACCATACTGAGCCACTGCTTCGACATGGACATAGGCACGTGACAATCTTACTATCTTGGCAACTACTGCTACCACAAGACTTTTAGAGGTATCCCATCTGACTACCATTCCGTTAGTTCTGTTGTACCCCCCACTATGCATTAGCCAGCAAGTCAAACCACCACTGCTTCGACATGAATCTGGGCTCATTCTTGCTCAGCCACTCCTCTACCAACAACACATTGTGAATCTGTCCACTCCTGCTTCCATTGCGGGAATACCGTCACGCCCTAACTTGACTACATTGTGGCTATGCCAGCAAGTGAAATTACTAGGCAATGCTTCGTCATGGACTTGGCGTAACCCCAGGACTGCCACTTCGCCTATACTGCTTCGATATTGAACTGAGGGCTGGACCCCAGAACTCTGCCACTATTATTTCCATCATCCCCTGCCATCCCCACACTGTACGTCTGCTGACATCTACTGCAAGTATACCGTTACGCGTCCACGAGTCTTCTGTGCTCTGCCGGCAAAGGAAATACTAAACTAGGAACTATATAAGTAGTTGTCGCTGCTTCTAAGCGACCACTATGCTTCGGAATGAACTCCGTAACGTGACTCAAAAGCTCTTACACCCCCCCACGTGCTAGTACTGCTATCACTGCAGGTATACCGCCATACCAAGCCCTCCCTGCAATGTGCATCGCAGTAAAACACTTTAATCGTAACTCCTTTGACAGTTCGACCAATAAAATTATGAAATTATAGTAATCTATAAGATATTATAGTAATCGGATATAAATACAATCGTGCGATTACACAGAATAGTACAGTAACACGAAAAACGCGCGACTCATGCTGATCGGAGAGAACTTTGTATACGAAAGGAATCTGAAGTTATCGGATGAGCGTTCGCTAATTTCCACCACAAACTAGGACAATAAAATATGGTGCTAACTTAATTAAACAATATGTGTGGTGCTAAATTTACAGAACATTGGTGTTTATAAAGTTGGAATGTTAGTCCAATAGATGGCGCTTTATGTGAACTTTAGCAAAATACAATCAATAACACACGTGGTTATCAAATGTCTTTGACTAATTGTTTTTTAAATTATATTATTTTTGACACATAACTACTTGAAAATGTTTTCAAAAATTTTGATATGGTATGTTGTTGACTACAGTTTATTGAGTATTAAGATCTCTTTGCAATAAATTAAGCTGGATGTGAAAATACGAAAGTGTGTATGATTTGTTCGTTTTATGCCGGCACTTCACTTGGCTATTCGAGTTTCCTATTTGTAAACTTGAAATCAGTCTGACATTTTCATTCCTTAAACAGCATATTGGCTAGTTTACAAATAACAAATACGAATAGGCAAGTGAAGTGCCGGCATTATGCATAATTATTTATTTAAAAACAGTGGTTCCTATTCACGCAACAAAATATTTAGAGCCAATTACAGTACTTCGTGTAAAGTCTGTCATTTCTAAATACTTACCCATTTTGTTGTAAAGCTGTTATAATTTCTTCTCAGCATGTGCCATCCCGTAAACGCGAACAAATATCTTATTCGAATAGTTTGCGAGTGAATTTTGTATGGAAACTTGAACAGCAGCGTCATAACGGACGTCACGACAGTTGAAAATCAGTACACATTTAACAATGACATTTCGCACTCGCAAACTATTCGAATTCGATATCGGTTCGCGCTAAGGGTACTGATTTTCAAATGCAGAAGGCAATAATTTACCTATTCCAACACGTTGTCATCTTATTTGATATGAGATCTTTTTAACTAAAGAAAACTTCAATATAACTTGATGAGATCTCTATAGGGTAGTGTTGCATCTGAAAAAGTACATAACTACTTCGATGTTACATCAAAAGACATTGTTACTAAAACTTATACTTATGTTTATATTATATCTATGAAATATAATGTGCACAGTCTTGTTGAGGTGGTTGCACAACACTTGCTAAAGAATAGGGTATTTGACAGTATTAAAAATAAAGTGCCAATTGTTAGCATCTATTTTCACTATTTTTACAGAAAAAAACATTCATAATTTGACTAAAAACCCTCGAAAAAGATAATAGTTTTCTCACCTACGAGTATTGTCACGTGACCCAAAACGCTTGGGATTGGCGGAGCCTAAAATGACGTCACAGGCAAGTAAACTTCCGGTTAAAGTGACATTACATTGTATCGTTTGACGTTTTAATAACAGTCGTGTGACGTCACACACTAGTAAGACGCCATATTGTCCAGAGAAACGTTTTCGAGGCAACTTGAAAATGGAGTTTTTGATTTGGTTATTTTAACTGAAATACAAAACAGAATGATGAATATCCAATTACGGACTCCATAAACATTAGTAAATAACGTGAGATCGTTTTCTACAACTTGTCAAATACCCTAATCTACTTTGGTATATATATATTTTTACAAAATACAAGTCACACTAACATTATTCTTCCCAGTAAACATACCGTACAGTACAGTACCCTTAGCACGAACCAATATCGAATTCATTGTCAAATTAGTACTGATTTTTAGTTCTCGTTACGTACTTTGTGCCGCTGCTGTTCAAGTTTCCATACAAAATTTGACATTGACATTTCGTTTTCCACCTATTCGAATTCGATATGGTTCGTGCTAGGGGTACTGTTGTCAGACCAAAGAGTGAGTACACAAATACACAAAACATAGGAACGCAAAATCATGTTTTCGTAATAAATAGGTAGACATTTAATTTCGTGATAATGTAGTTACCAGCTCATCTAAGTGATTTTGGGTTAAAGAAAAACTGATTCCCATATTATTCTTATTGCATTAACTAAATTATCGGTAGAGATTTTTGTGAGAGATTGTATTTTACACATTATGATTAGAAGATTTAATTAAACGAAACTATGGTTGATATGATAATATTGATACCAAATGATAGAGTCAATGTGTTTTACGGCAAATAAGGATTGTCAGTGACTTTTTTATGCCGGCACTTCACTTGGCTATTCGTAAACTTGACATCAGTCTGTCCTTTTCATTCCATATAAAGCATGATTTGTACAGACTGATGTCAAATTTACAAATAGCACACACGAATAGCCACGTCAAGTGCGGCAATAAGGCAAATGAGGTTTATCAGTAAGTTTCTTTTACCTCATTTGTGGGGACGTAATTGGAATTAAAGGAGATTTTATTAAACATATCCAAATGTAACATTTCTATCTGAAATGTTATAGGAACCTATTTTGAGTTAAAAAGCAAAGATTAATTAAACATCATTGAACTTTTTTTTGATTGACAATCCTTTACTATTTTTTCTCCCGGCATTATCTAACAAAAGTATTAAATACCCATAAGAATTGAACACATGGTGCTTCTTACTATCACTTCAATAGGAAGTGTTATAGCAACATTTGTCCTTATATTGTAGATAAAGTGTATATAAAACAAAATGGAATATTATTATTAGAGGACCACAATTAAACATACAAAATGTGATAAAATATATTTTTTAGACGATATTTATTGAGATATTTTTACTATTTTACATTTTATGTGACATAAGGATTTCCTTGCTTCGTAGTTTATCAATAATTCAGATGCTTGTTTTAAGTGTAAATAATGTTTTGACTTTACACTTGTTCAACTTTACTGTCTACACTGGTTAAGTAATACACTTGTGTAAGTTAAGTTTTTAGCTTTGTGATGAATTTACTGAAATATATTGAATATTTGTGCTCAGTTTGTTACGGTTTTTAGTTTGAATGAATGTATAATGTAATATTATGGCGTTCATAATATACGAAATGTATGTTCTATACCTTTTTAGGCAGCTTCTTAAAGAAATAAAGTATGTAAAAATAATCTTTCGAATTGAGTTTATTGAAAACGAGACGATGAATTGATATTTTTGTCCGTTTTGGAGTTGCAAAGCTTAAGATCAAATTAATTTATAAAAGTAACTCTTATTTATATGTTAGTAAAGTTTGTAACGTTATGTTTTTTGTTTTATGATTTTTTTAAACTATATTGTATCGAGATACAATAGCTGTTCAAATTGA